CGCCAATGTCATCGTCCATCACGATGTTTCACTGTAGACATTGGCATCGCCCAAAATCAACGCCCAACCCTAGTTAAAACACTTTGTAATATGCATATATGCCTTTGCTCTCTACCTGTTTTACCATAGCCTGTTTAACCTGCATAACCTGTTTTAAAGGTCTTAATTCGCCCGTCCACAATTTAAGGCCTTAAAACGGTCATGAATCAAAATAAAGTCTTCAATTCATAGTCATGGCATTAAATGTTGCATGCACTGCAACAATATGGTTATCTTCCTCGGTATTTTTATTTTCCAGTACAAATATATAACATCAAGATACATTAACAAACATAATCAAATCAAGATGCATTAACTTGAGGTGCAAATGTAAATTCTTTATTAAAACAAGAGCAAACATCTGTCAGTGGGGTTTGAAAACTTGTGTTCCCTTTGAATTAAGTTGTTTCTGTTTGTTTTGAGTCCATTGGCAGATATTTGTTGTTTTAATCACAAACTCATCATTCAGTTTCTCAGAAACAAGACTACTTATGTCATTATAAATGAATCTTGATTTAGGAATCCCTTGGCATTTTTTTTTATATTCCCAGGAGAAAAGCTCTAAAGCAGAGAATCCCATTGCAGTGCCACCCCTCTCTGATGGCTCTAAATCTAGGTCCAAACTCCTCTTTGAGGACAGGTATGGAGACCTTCATCTTTTTTTTTTTTGTTTTTTTTTTTGAGTAATTACTTTTAAGATCCTTTTAAACTGTGTGATTGTGATTAAAGCATCCATGTTAATCCGATTCAATGGTCTATTATTGTGAGAAGTGACAATATATATATATATTTTTTTCATGTCACTCTGAGAAGCCACACCCAAATAAAAAAATTTTTTAACAAATATTGCTTAAGAAATTTCACAAATAAGTAACACATTGAATTAAACATTTGAAATCTTTTGAAGTCTTCAAACTCAAAATCATTTTTACAGTGCATGGTGAAATCTCATTGGTCTAAAATCTGGCTACACATAGTGGGACGTTTAAGCATCATGTATTGCTTTATCATTATTTCGTTGTCTTAATTTTTGGACATGGTGTTGAAGTTTTTGAACTTTTGATGTGAAGTAACAGCCAGTCCTTCATCTGAATTGCAGGGTTCATTCGGCTGATCATTACCTCCAAGAAGCGAAGAAACTGAAACACAACGCAGATGCTCTGGTGAGGGTTTGTTTACTGGCCTACGGTTCTCGACGTGCGTGTCAGATAATCTGCATGACATTTCTGTGACCCCTGACCTTTTGTGTTAGTCCTCCAACAGGTGCTCTCCTCACACCAAGCTCATGAGTCACTTCTGTTTGTCTATAAAGGGGTTTTCAAGCATCAAAACTGTTTAGTGCAATTTGTTTTTTTTGTTTTTTTTTATTAGAATGTGTCCTGTATAGATTAGATTTTTTCTGAGAAAAAATAGTTCCAAAAATATTTAAAATAAGTCATTAGATGACATTAAAAGACCCTTTTTAAGGATCACAGTGCAGCCCCTAAAATACAAATTAACTGTAATATTAAATCTTTACCAATATTCTTGTCTTCCCCCTTTATTAGCAAGAAGCTATTAATCATTTAAAATTATCTTAGCATTGTTTTACATGTTAGGTAACACTTTACCAATTCTTACTATTAACTAGTTGCTTATTAGCATGCATATTACTAGCATATTGGCTGTATATTAGTACTTATAAAGCACATATTAATGCCTCTTTCTGCTTGATCATATTTAGATCCCTTAATCCACCCCATACCTAAACTTAACAACAACCATACTAACTATTAATAAGCAGCAAATTAGGAGTTTATTGAAGCAAAAGTTGTAGTTAATAGTTATTTAGACCCCAGACTAAAGTGTGACCATATGTTATAATAAGTTCCGGTCTGAATATGTATGTGGTTTCATTTTTAAATAAATAAATGTTACACTGAATGACAACACAACATTATTTCACCCATATTTTGACATTTTATTTTCACAAAAGTAGATGCTTTACTTGCATTTAATATGCCTTCTATGTAGTGTATCACTTTTGTAAATTTAAATTGATGCAGACACCAAATTGGACACCTCATCTTTGACCCATATGTCAGAAATAATGCAGGCATGAAAGCTGTCCATAAAAAAAGACAATTGTCCATTAGAGCGCATCTTTGCATTCTCACACATTTCGTAACATAATTTGGAATGGAGCTTAGAAGCATCTGTATAGAGTTACGGTGCGTCCCAAATCGCGTACTTATGCACTATTCTATGACGTTTTGTAGTATAAATAGTGCGAGTAGTGCGTTCACACTGAAAATTCCAAAAATAAAGAGTGCACTTAAATAATCGAAAAAATGAAGTGAAAGTCTTCAATTCATAGTCATGGCATTAAATGTTGCATGCACTGCAACAATATGGTTATCTTCCTCGGTATTTTTATTTTCCAGTACAAATATATAACATCAAGATACATTAACAAACATAATCAAATCAAGATGCATTAACTTGAGGTGCAAATGTAAATTCTTTATTAAAACAAGAGCAAACATCTGTCAGTGGGGTTTGAAAACTTGTGTTCCCTTTGAATTAAGTTGTTTCTGTTTGTTTTGAGTCCATTGGCAGATATTTGTTGTTTTAATCACAAACTCATCATTCAGTTTCTCAGAAACAAGACTACTTATGTCATTATAAATGAATCTTGATTTAGGAATCCCTTGGCATTTTTTTTTATATTCCCAGGAGAAAAGCTCTAAAGCAGAGAATCCCATTGCAGTGCCACCCCTCTCTGATGGCTCTAAATCTAGGTCCAAACTCCTCTTTGAGGACAGGTATGGAGACCTTCATCTTTTTTTTTTTTGTTTTTTTTTTTGAGTAATTACTTTTAAGATCCTTTTAAACTGTGTGATTGTGATTAAAGCATCCATGTTAATCCGATTCAATGGTCTATTATTGTGAGAAGTGACAATATATATATATATTTTTTTCATGTCACTCTGAGAAGCCACACCCAAATAAAAAAATTTTTTAACAAATATTGCTTAAGAAATTTCACAAATAAGTAACACATTGAATTAAACATTTGAAATCTTTTGAAGTCTTCAAACTCAAAATCATTTTTACAGTGCATGGTGAAATCTCATTGGTCTAAAATCTGGCTACACATAGTGGGACGTTTAAGCATCATGTATTGCTTTATCATTATTTCGTTGTCTTAATTTTTGGACATGGTGTTGAAGTTTTTGAACTTTTGATGTGAAGTAACAGCCAGTCCTTCATCTGAATTGCAGGGTTCATTCGGCTGATCATTACCTCCAAGAAGCGAAGAAACTGAAACACAACGCAGATGCTCTGGTGAGGGTTTGTTTACTGGCCTACGGTTCTCGACGTGCGTGTCAGATAATCTGCATGACATTTCTGTGACCCCTGACCTTTTGTGTTAGTCCTCCAACAGGTGCTCTCCTCACACCAAGCTCATGAGTCACTTCTGTTTGTCTATAAAGGGGTTTTCAAGCATCAAAACTGTTTAGTGCAATTTGTTTTTTTTGTTTTTTTTTATTAGAATGTGTCCTGTATAGATTAGATTTTTTCTGAGAAAAAATAGTTCCAAAAATATTTAAAATAAGTCATTAGATGACATTAAAAGACCCTTTTTAAGGATCACAGTGCAGCCCCTAAAATACAAATTAACTGTAATATTAAATCTTTACCAATATTCTTGTCTTCCCCCTTTATTAGCAAGAAGCTATTAATCATTTAAAATTATCTTAGCATTGTTTTACATGTTAGGTAACACTTTACCAATTCTTACTATTAACTAGTTGCTTATTAGCATGCATATTACTAGCATATTGGCTGTATATTAGTACTTATAAAGGAGTAGTGCGTTCACACTGAAAATTCCAAAAATAAAGAGTGCACTTAAATAATCGAAAAAATGAAGTGTGGAATATTGGACACTTCATGCACTCAACTGTCGCAGCTTTAATTACGTAGCGAAGGGGGAGGGGCTATCAGACTCTGATTATGAATGACAAAATAACCTTATATAATTCATACACTATGTACTTAAGCACTATGTACTCAACCATGTAGTGCATAGAGTATAGTGCATCATTTGGGACGCAGCTTTCGGTTTGGCTCTGACGTGTATCGTCTTTTCCACAGATGGACAGGTTTGAGAAGGCCGTGTATTATCTGGATGCTGTGGTGTCTTTCATCGAGTGTGGAAACGCCCTGGAGAAAAGCGCCCAAGAGGCCAAATCGCCCTTCCCCATGTACGCAGAAACCGTGGAACTCATCAAGTAAGTTGCCAGAATATTCCTCCAGCGTCTCTCTTCATTGTGCTTTCAGAGTTTGCTGACAAACACGTGTGTTTGCGTGTTGTGCAGGTACACTATGAAGCTGAAGAGCTACCTGGCGCCGGATGCAACCTCTGCAGACAAAAGGCTAGCGGTGCTGTGGTACGTCGCAGAAACACATCAGTGGCTCTCTTAAACGAACACAAGAAAGAATTTGAGAATATATGAAGACACTGAATCGAGGTTTATCTGAGATGCTATTAATGACACAACGAGCAGCCCGGTCTTAGTATGCTTTTACAATCTTTAGTAAGAGTAATTTTCTATTTCCAACAGAATGATGTTAAAGGGACCGTTCACCCAAAAATGAAAATCCTGTCATCATTTACTCGCACTACACTTGTTCCAAACTTCGTTTCTTTGTACTGTTGAACACGAATGATGATATTTTAAAGAATGTTGGTCAACTGTCTGATTACCAACATTCTTCAAAATATCTTTTTATCTTCAACTGAAGAAGGAAACTCATACAGGTTTGGAACAAGTGGAGGGTGAGTACATTTATTTTTGATGAACTGTTCCTTTAAATGTATTATCAGTGTTTGATACCAGTTATCTTTATTTGACTTTAGTAATGAAGTAAATAGAGTTAAAGCTGATATCTATGTTAATGTGGATCCAGTGTTTGGTAACCAGTGGTAGATCTAATCAGTGGATCCGTCTGTGTCTCTCTGCAGCCTGAGGTGCCAAGCGCTCCTGTATTTGAGGCTCTTCAAGCTACGCAAAGAAAGTGCACTGAAATACTCTAAAACGCTCACTGAACACTTGAAGGTAACGGGATTTTCTGTATTTTAAATTACGACTATAAGGTTGGCATGTCAAGGTTCTTCTCAAAATATTTGCAAATGTACGCTACAGTTCAAAAGTATTAATTTCTTTTTAAAAAAAAAAATCTTACTGACCCCAAAATTTTTAACGGTAGTGTAGGTCTGAAATATCCAGTATGACAAAATTCCAGAAAACATGAAAACCTTGTCGTTTTTGTCTATCAAAAGGTTACTATGATGTGAAATTTAATTATTGTTGTTGTTAATGTTTCTCAAAATGTTTCTTAAAATCATAACATATACAAGATGTATTAACTAAGGTTTTATTTCTTCCAGAATTCGTTGAGTAATAACCAAGCTCCGTCTCCTGGAGTAGCAAAGTAAGTTACATTGGTTTGTATTATTATTATTATTATTGTAGATGGTGTAAATATTATACCACCCGCAACCGCATGTCAGTGTGCAACAACACTCAGAACACATTAGCAACATCCTGGCACCCTCGTGCAGAAAACACACACAAAAAAAAAAAAACCGGTAACAAAAATGCACCAATGGGTAATATCTCTGCTTTCATATTCCATTAAGCAATAACAAACAATGAATAACTTGCAAATTAACAAAATTGATATTACCTGTAATATTTAATTTTTTTACACTCGCCTTTTGTTCTAAAAAAAGCGTTAAAACGTGAGGTTGTACTATATTCTGTTTTTGAAATATAAGCCAATATTGCAAAATGCACATTTAATGGCATGCATTGCAAAAAATATATATATAAATATCTTCCTCAGTATTTGTTTTCCAGTATAAATATATAAACATCAAGATACATTAAATTATTAAAAAATATTTGGCAGATATTTGTTCTTGTTTTAATCATAAACTCACTTCATTTTCTCAGATCAAGGCTTCCTATCATTTCATTTTGCTTCTTGATTTAAATATCTTGGGACATTTGCACTGAAAACAAGACAAAATACTGATGAGCATCACTTCTTTTCCGTGTGATGAAGATGCAGTAAATTCCATATTCTAGTGTTTGGAAGCAGTGCTATTCAAGCCTTAAGTTCTCCTCAGTTGATTCTTTACATTTTAAAGTCTTAAATTTGCCTTTATAAAACCTGCAGAAACCCTGTATATATGAATAATCATGGTAGTTAGTCTCTTAAACATTACAGAAGGAATAGCTGATCATGCATAGATCCTTCATTGTGACTCATGCTCGTCTCTGTCCTCTGCGTCCTGCAGTAAAGCGGCGGGAATGCCGTCTCCGGTCTCTCCTAAACTGTCTCCTGGCAGTGCGGGCAGTTACTCCTCCAGCAGCTCCAGCCAGAGCACCAGCTCCTCCGTCACCATCCCCCAGCGCATCCACCAGATGGCAGCCAGCTACGTCCAGGTCACCTCCAACTTCCTCTACGCCATCGAGGTGTGGGAGCAAGCCGAACAGCTCGCCAAAGAGCAGAGAGGTATTCTTTTAAGTCCATTTCCTTCTTCCTGAAGCTGTACTCGGGTGGTTATGTGACTCCACACAGCTTTTCTGACTTTTCTTCAGTCATTCTATTTCTGACCAAGCATGAATGTCCATGGAAAGCATTGCGTTGTCTGTTTTATTATTTGCTTACAGAATCAATAGATTTTACAGGTTGGTTATACAGTACATCTACTTTACCAAAACATACATACTGTACGCTCATGTAAAGCAATATATAGCTGTCAGCTGCTTGTTTTTTTTTATTTTGTTGCAAAAATGTAGCTATTAACACCCAGAATTTTATATAAAATTGGATGTAGAAAGAAGAAGTCTCTTCTGCTCATCAAGGCTGCATTTATTTGATAAAAAATGCAGGGGAAAAAACTGTAAAATTGTGAAATATTATTACAATTTAAAATGCTGGTGTTTTATTATAATATACTTTAAAATGTAATTTATTTCTGTGATGCGCAGCTGAATTTTCAGCATCATTACTCCAGTCTTCAGTGTCACATGATCCTTCAGAAATCATTCTAATATGTGACCTTGGAGCACAAAAGCAGTCTTAAGTCGCTGGGGTATATTTGTAGGAATAGCAATAAAAACATTGTATGGGTCAAAATTATTGATTTTTCTTTTATGCCAAAAATCATTAGGATATTAAGTAAAGATCATGTTCCATGAAAATATTTTGTAAATTTCCTACCGTAAATATATCAAAACTTAATTTTTGATTAGTAATATGCATTGCTAAGAACTTAATTTGGACAACTTTAAAGATGATTTTCTCAATATTTAGATTTTTTTGCACCCTCAGATTCCAGATTTTCAAATAGTTGTATCTCAGCTAAATATTGTCATATCCTAACAAACCATACATCAATGGAAAGCTTATTTATTCAGCTTTCATATGATGTATAAATCTCAATTTCAAAAAATTGACCCTTATGACTGGTTTTGTGGTCCAGGGTCACAAATGTGCATTTATTATCAATGGTGGAAACTTTTGTGCTCCTTAATATATTTTGGAGACTGTAATGCTTATTTCAGGATTCTTTGATGAATAAAAAGTAAAAAAGAGAACTCTTTTGAATGTACACTACCGGGTCAGAAAAGAATTCTTTCTTTTTTTTGCAAGAAATTAATACTTTTAATCAGCAAGGATGTGTTAAATTAGTAAAAAGGGACATAGACTTTATACTGTTAAAACTAAAATCTATTTTAAATAAATGCTGTTCTTTTTTTACTTTTTATTGATCAAAGAATCCTGAAAAAAGTATCACACATTCCAAAAAAAAAAAAACCGCAAAAATGTAACAATGTCGTCCAGCTGTAATCTGCTTAATGCAGCTATAAGGCATGAAGATATTGTAAACACTAATATTATGAATTTCTATAAAGCTGTTTTAAAAAAAAGTGCCTCCGACATTCTTCTTTACAAATCCTCGTTTTGCACTTCTAATTATTGACCGTTGTTTTGTTTTGATCTCTCCGCTGCGTTTCTGCGTTCGTCACTTCTGAGCAGCGCATGTGCAAAGCCGATGTCTTACGTCATCCGCCCGGAACTGCTTCCGTTTACAACAGTGAGCGCAAGCTCGATTAAAGTGATTATTACATTTTGAATATGGATAGTTAGTTCACCCAAAAATGAATATTAGGCTGCGTTTTACTCACCCCAGAGGCAACCTAGGTGTATATGACTTTGTTCTTTCAGACGAATCCAGTTGGAGTTATATTAAAAATTGTCTTTGATCTTTCAAGCTGATTAATGCCACTCAGCGGGTGTTGCATTGCTTCAGTCCAAAAGAACTTAAATAAGAAGCGCCCATCCATAAAAAAAAGTGTCTCACACGGCTCCGGGGGGTGGAACTTGGAACTTTAATGTAGCTTGCGCCAACAGTTGCACACAGAAGCAGCTACATTAAAGCTACATTAAAGTGATTATTAAGTTTTGAATATGGATATTTTTCTTATAAAAACGCATCGATTCGCTACAGGAGGCCTTTGTTCACCCCCCGGAGCCGTGTGAGACACTTTTTTTTATGGATGGGCGATTTTTATTTATGTTCTTTTGGACTGATGCATGCAACACCCGCTGAGTGGCATTAAACAGCTTGAAAGATCAAAGACAATTTTTAATATAACTCCGACTGGATTCGTCTGAAAGAAGAAAGTCATATACACCTAGGATGACTTGAGGGTGAGTAATTTATGGGCTAATTTTCAAGCTTAAATACAATAACCAGATATAAAAAGCTAAGCATTTTCAGTCTTTATTTAAAAGCTTTTCCCCTGAAAGTTTGAGTTAGAATAGTTTGCAAGAGCGCAATCGTAAACACAATCAAGGCTGCGAGTGCGACCAATGAGAAGATGAGTTTACGTGTTCGGTGTGATCGTGTTTAATGTCCCGACAACTTCTGTGGTCCCATTTAGACACAAGTAAAAGCTTTAATAAAATCACACGGTGGTATTACTAATGTATTTTATGTTGTAGAATAAAACATGAAAATATTGTGTGCTTATAGACCTTATTTCAGGCATTTCAGTGATTATTATGTTTTGAATATGATATTTTTCTTACAAAAATGCATCGATTCGCTACAGGAGGCCTTTGCTCACCCCCGGGAGCCGTGTGAGACACTTTTTTTTTTATGGATGGGCGATTTTTATTTATGTTCTTTTGGACTGATGCATGCAACACCCGCTGAGTGGCATTAAACAGCTTGAAAGATCAAAGGCAATTTTTAATATAACTCCGACTGGATTCGTCTGAAAGAAGAAAGTCATATACACCTAGGATGCCTCGGGGGTGAGTAAAACGCAGCCTAATTTTCATTTTTGGGTGAACTAACCCTTTAATGTGACTTGATTCTGGCTCAGGATCTTGTTTTTTTTTCCTTATTTTCCTCTTGCATGAATCTGGATGTGAGCACCTGCTAAAGACTGTCAGTTTTGACTTCTTCTCTTTGGTCTTTTCCGCAGAGTTCTTCTCCGAACTGGACAAGGCTATGGGCCCGCTCATCTTCAACACCAGCAGCATGACTGACCTGGTGCGATTCACGCGGCAGGGCCTGCACTGGCTACGACTGGACGCCAAGCTCGTACAGTAGAGCGGCCCTATCCGTAGCCCCTCTATGCCTACGCAAAGCCCTCACACACTCGTTCTGCCTCAGACATCTCTGTGACACTGTGTTCATCTCTACACCAGCTTGCCAAAAATGGAAACACTCAGTGCCCCGCCCCTCCACCACAGACCCTATGAATATTCATGAGAGGGGAGGCGGCCAATCCACACAACTGGCAGAGCGCTCATACACTGCATCGTCCGGCTCATATCATTGGCTTGTTTAGCTAAAAAAAAAAAAGCCTGCTTTCTTACTTTGACTGTCTTTTTGGTTTATTTTCTGCTAGCTATAAGCAAACAAGAATAATAATTGGATGTTTATAGCTTTTTATTTCAACCAAAGTACCTCCCTTTAACCAAAGGTGCTTTAAAATTGAAATTTTCTCCTTTTATCATTTTATTGTGCCTTGTATTTGATATACAGGAAACCGAGAGACACAATATCTTGAAAGGTTTGACTTGTACGCAGGGTGTGGATTGCCAAAGGCTTGTAAAACGAGAAGCAGAAAGAGCATCATGCACTCAGCAGATAATGAATGCAGTGCTGACTGATCGTCTTTCTTGTATACAGGACCAAAAGACTGTTCGGCGCCATATCAAGGCATTATTACTAATGTTTTTTTTTTGTTTGTTTCATCCACAGACGCCAGAAAGGAATTATAGCCTGTCATATTTGTATACGTCACTACCACAAACTCCCAGGCCAAGATTTTTATACGAAATGTAGCGCTCGCATAGGTGTCACTTTCTCGCTCTTGATTTTCTGGTATTAAACGCAGGAGTATTTTATTACCTTGGCTCAGCCTAATATAGATTTTATTTAGATAACGGCAAATCGCTTCGTTCCAGGTTGCGTTTTCACTCTTGGGCATGGATACAGGGTTGCAATACGAGAGGAGAGCCGTATTTCTATTGTATATGAAAATATCATATTTAAATATTTAATGTGAGTCTTGAGTTTGCGTTTATAGTGTCGTAGTCACCTGTGTGTTGCAGTTCTTTTAAAAGACCGCAGTCATGTGAGGATATATTTATGTGTTCTGTTGAGAATAGCAGTTTATGTATGTACATATAGTGATTTTAGCGCAGACCGACCCGTAATCTATACACGCAGTAAATCAGATCGAAACTTTGATCGGTTTAGCAGCAGAAAGAGGAAGGTCAAGTGAAAAGTCAATCCAATGCTGGAAACTTCACTAGAATCTTTCCTCTAATTGGCTCCCAAACTGTTTTTTTTCTGTCTATGCAGATGTTTTTCTTGCTCGTTTGTGCAGTAGCTAACAAGGACTCCTGCCAATTAAAATGTTCATCAGTTAAAGCAAACTTGTAGAGGTTAAACATTTAATGGCTGGCCACTAGATATACCACTGATGCTGTTGTCATGAGCATCATTTCAGCATCATTTTAATTTAGAGAGTCAATAAGTTCATTGTGTTATAGGGGTGAGGTCTGTTAATTGTGCTTTTATGTAAATGAATTCATGCACTAATGTGATTTCTGTACCAGATTCGTGATGATAAAGTAACTGCATATGAATATGGATCGTTCCCATGGCCTTTTTGCTTCTCCAGACATGAAGGTGATGTGCTGTCCTTTTTTTTTTTTTCCTTTTTTTCCTGTTTTTATCTTTTCTACTAGAGTTCATGGTATTGCTTTAGAGGATCAGACTGACTGATTGATTTAAATCCATATTTAATTTTCTTTGTGATCATAACTTTACCCAGGGTGAGATACCTTGTTTTTTTTTTCTTCATCCAGTTGAAAAATAACACTCGCATGTTTCTATTTAAATACTAAGCTGTACAGATGTACATAAAAATTCTCTTTTAGGGTAAATTTTTACGACGATTTAACATTTGTATTAATTGTAAATAGAATGTGAATATATTAAATGCACATCTTCGTTACTGAAGTTTTTTTTTTTGTGATGTCATGTTCAGATTTCCTGTGCTATATGAACATGGCTTTCTGTCATTTAAATGGTGATGTTGGTCAGGTTGAAATGCAGTTGACTATAAGAAAGATCTGCCATTAGTGACAGGAACTTCATCGTTTTGAGCGGTTCTCGATGTCTGTATGTAGTACTCATTTTATAGTGATCTCAAAACAATCATTGGCAAGCAGTATAAAATCAATTTAGATTTAAAAGTATTAAGAGATTGACGAGAAGAAATCTACACATATATATATATATATATATATATATTCATATATGGATGCAATATGATTTAAAGGTACTCTCATGAGCCTCGATTATCCAAACTTGTAATAACTTGTAATTTAAACACTTTTTTTTTTTTTGGTGAAGTGAGTATTACTAGTGGATTTTCTGAGTCTGTTGCGAATCATCTTTGTATTTTGCTGTATTGAGAATAAAATATATATGATTAAAAAGCTTTGGCTCTGATTTGAATTACTTTTGAAACTGTAAAAGTGTTTTTGAGCATTGCTGTGTAGTTTTGAACCTTAATTTAGCATGAAGAACACGCTATGAATTTAATGCATAAGGCCAGAAAGAAATGCACCAACAAGTGTCCGATATCATTTTAATCACCTTTTTACAGCTCACGTTAATGATTCTGCTATGTGACAAATGGAGGTTTAGAAGTAGGCTGGAAATATTCCATGCAGTCTGAAATCATAGGTTTAAAACGGTACTGGAATTAATTGTCAATTCTACCAGTGTTGGGGAAAGCTACTTTTAAAAATAGTGCATTACAATATTGTGTTACACCATAAAGTAGCTAATTGCATTTTGTGTAAAATAATGCATTGTGTTACTTTTTGAGCTGAGCTTGCTTATTTATTTGTAATAACAAAAAGCCCAAAAGATATATTTTTGGCAACTGTGAAGGACCTTTCACATCAAAAGTGAAATGAATCAGCCTCAGCCTGAAGGAAGATGTTTCTTACCACGAGGACAGGAGATGTGTCCGTGAATAAATGGGAAAACAAAGTACTTTTTTTTAAAAAGTAACTCAAATATTTTGTTGTAAATTTAAAGTAATGTGTTACTTTGCTAGTTACTTGAAAACAGTAATGCGTTACCCCCAACACTGCATTCTACCTTAACTCTAGCTTAGTGAAAGCATAAATGCATTACCACAAATAAAGTGAAAAAGTTATAAAATGTACATGCATCTGGACTTCTAGGAGAACTTGAGCTCTAATAGTATAATTATGATCACAATCCGCTTGGTATTTGGATCTTGCATAACTGGGTCATGCATAGCACTACTGAAAGCACATAAATCAGATTGCAAAAAAGAAAAAGTTGACTACATTGAACCCATTGAACTACATTAACACCTTCTAATAAGCAAGGCTTACATTGTTTTTTCCCCCCCATTTGTGGCATTTGAAGATGCAAATACTCATATGCAAACACAAAATATTGACAATTTGCTTATTTACATTTTCATGGTCACTCTTTCTCATTTTTAAACGACACGTTCTTTCCCTTTCCAGTTGCCATTCAACATTTAAAGGGACAGTTCACCCAAAAATGAAATTACTGTCATTTAGTCAGCCTGCATGAAAATATTTATTGAATGTTGGTAACAGAACAGTTACTGGTAGCCACTGATCTCCAAGTATAGAAGAAAATACTATGGAAGTCAATGGCCGTCAACTGTCTGATTCCAAACGTTAATAAAAATATCTTCTTTTGTGTTCAACGGAAGAAAGAAGCTCAAATGAGTAAATAATGCCCTATTTTTTTTTTTTTTGGTTGGGGTGAACTGTTACTTTAACTCTAGGCTTACTATTCATATTACATGTGTACAGTTATGCAGCTTTAACATTTACATAAACAAATATGAGGGCCATTGATGGACAGCTCAATAACATTTTCCTGTAATCGCCCCGCCCCTTTGTGGCCCCGCCCCCTCTCGCTGATCAGCTCTGGACACAGAGGCAGTAGCTTCACTTTGCCTCAACACACGGAGTTATGCTTTATAATAACACTCAGTTTATGGCGTAAACCCGACAGCTGGTGTTATGAGTCGCATCCTGACAGAAGCGTGCAGGTAAGAGATTCTTAAAAGTGCTGGTATAATACGATAGTTTCGCTCCACGGCTCACACACAGCAACAGGTGGATGTTAACTGATGTCTCTGTATAGACAACACTTATGTGGAATGGTTTTACTTTAAAAGGAACTGTATAATGGTATAAAGATGTTCACTCAAATGTATGTACTTTTAATACGGGCTAAGTGTAAGGCTGTTACACAATAGGTTTTTTGAAGACTTTGTCCCACCAGGGAAAGAGGTAATCACGCAGAACAGATTCTGACCATCTACTTTTTTTCATACTCTATGGAGAAAAAAGTGAGAAAAAACACTAATTTAACCCATTTAAGTCCAGGTTTGACTCTTTTTTTTTTTTCAGCAGGTATGTAATAATTGGGTAGTAAGAGAGATTGCAATATATTTTGGCACAGGGTCTGTTCATAACATGTTGCATCACTCTCTGTTTTGTTTCTGTCATGGGTCACAGTCCACTTTAGTAGAATTATACTAAATATGCAAGATGAATTTAGAGGGGTGAAAATGTGACAGCTTTGCTGTGCATTGTTCGCAGGAAACCAGACACTGGTGTTTTGTCCAGTCGCTGAAACTCTATCAGTCTTGTGTTGAAAACGGCCTCCCCGTGTTCTCTGGAGGAGAAGAACAGGAGTTTAGGAGCTGTGTTGCATGCATGCAAAGACGCACATAAACACAAATGCAACTGCACCTACTGAAAAACCTGCAACACACAATGCAACCTCGTTTCGCTCTTGTGGTAGACACACCTTCCAGATTCCCAGAATGCATGATGAGCGAGTTTTACTGCTCTTTAGCAGCAACAACAAAGACGCTTCCCTTGCTTGCATTGTCGTTAAAAACACCTGTATCTGTTACAGGTGCAAGTATGCTTGCATGCTGTAAAATATCACTTAGCATCATATGACCCCTTTAAGGAATATCTGTTGACGAGGTCAGGATTACAGTAATCATTTGCACGTTATGTAACGTTCAGCAATTACCTTTTGCATGGAGACAATCCATTTATTGTTTGGGTGTTACTTTAACGTTCAGTACATCCTTAATGCAAACTGGTTTATCCAGGCTCACTGTCACTAACTTGTTTATCTGTTAAATGCATCTTGAACAGCAGCTTTTGACATTGATGTTCTGAGTAAAAATAATAATAATACTAATCATTTAAAAACTTAAAATGTGCCTTTACATTAAAACAAGTCTTGTCAAAATGAATGGTTCTTTTGAAAATGAAACTTAGATTTGTATGAGTGTGGAGCACAAAAGGAGAAATGTTAAAGACTTTGTCAGCCAGTCTATTCTATATAATGAAAATGAATGGCGAACTATGACGATCGTGCTCCAAAATGATAAAAAAGAAAAAACTTTACATAAAATAAATGTTTAATATGAGATCTACATTAAAAGAGAAAATTATCATCAGTAAATAATGTGTTTTTTTCCTTTTGTGTTTCATGAAACAACGAAAGTCATACAGGTTTAGAACAACATGATGTGCGCAATGAGTGAATGATGTCAAAATATTGTTTTTGGAAAAACCACTGGATGTTTCTTGGAATCTCTTGTTGTCAGTGAACAAACTGTTTAACATTGTGGCAGAATAAGCCATATTTAAGCAGTAAATCTATCTGACCACACCTTAAAGGGACAGTTCACCCAAAAATCAACATTTTGTCATTAGTGTCATTACTGTTTGGATTATGTTCCGTTCTGTTGACTTTTATTTTGATACTCTGTTCTGATTCCAGATGTCCCGGTTTGTCCTCTCTGTTTCGGTTTTCTTCGTTTCTGATTATGTGCCTATTTGTTTCTGTAGTAACTAGGGCTGCACGATTAATCGAATGCGATTGTCATGCGCATTTTGTTAGTAAAGCCGGTTCTGTAATCAGCAGGAAATCATCACGTGCTTTCAGATGGAGCAGCATCCAGCAAAAGTTGCACCACTTTCTAATGCAGTAAACCAAACTCTGGCATGGCGTGCATTTGGGGGTGAATCTAACAAAATAATAAGTTAAATATTTCATAATATTGCAATTTGTCAACCACACTGCAAGCTGTGTTCACTGTCGGTTCGAGGTTTGGTTTCTAAGAGTTTTCTCCACTTTGTTGCATCATGTCGCTGATGTGTCTTGCTTAAAACCAGTGTCATTTTAGCTCATAACAGAGCTATTCAGAATGCTGATGTGTGGTAGGCTTGGCATTTATCTTGTAATTACCATGCATTTCAGGCATATTTCAAACACCAAGATGTCTGATTTACCAGAGAAGAGAGCAGCAACACCGCATGCCTCCTCCACCTCTCCACGTCTTTATCTTTTTCTTCCCTCTCTATAGTCATGCACCTCTGAACTAATGCCAGGTAGCAAAGTTCGCAAGCGCTGAACTGTGGCAGTGCAACAGGCTGGAGTTTAATCGGTTTTATTCCAACACAACTCTCTCTCTCTCTCTCTCTCTCTCTCTTACTGGAATGGCTGCTCTTTGTCATTGCTGTAATTAGCAGAAGTGCAGGGATTGAACACATTTGTCACATTCCTTCCATATTAGAATTTAATAGCAGCTATTATCTTATATTACCTTATTTTTACCTTGAAGGCCTTTGTGTTGAGCTTCAAGCATCCTACGCAGTGAAAAGAAGGAACAGCTAGTTATGCTGAACTTTCCATTAGCTGTAGTTTCAAGTGCATCTTTATTGATGAGATCTTTTTGAGTCATTCAGCAGAACGGGTGCAGATATTTGACCTTCGAAAAAACTCAAACAAAACAAAAACACACGTGTACTATGTGTTAATATTGTAAAAGCACATCAACAAAAATCCAGGGATGTGATTTTTATGTTTTTTATAAATATATTTATCCAAGAGTTCCCTTTAATTCCTTCACATCCAAAAAATTCTTCTGATTTCCCCCATTTTCTTCTTTTAACATTTTTAGTTGTCGCTTCACTTCACTTCCAGATTTTTTTCTTTTTTTATCTTTGCTTTACATTCTGAACAGAAACCGCTACAGATCCCATAACAGTGTACATGAAATTATCCAGGATTTTATGTAAATGCTTTTAGCTACTAACCACACATTTTAAGTAATTTAAGACTTAAAAATAGAGAAAAAAGGTATAGTATTATAATTATTTATATAGGCCTATATGTGTGAGTGTGAGTGTGAGTGTGTGTGTGTGTGTGTGTGCGTGTGAGAGTGTG